TAATTTTCAATTAGTGATAATTCTGTCAAATTAATTTTTTAGTTATTGAGATTAAATATAATGAAAAAGAGTGATTCTTGTGAAAAATGGATAAATAATAGCATTTCATAGGACATTTGTCTATATTTACAAAAAAAAAAAACATAAATTTTAATAAATTAATATAAAACAATTTAATTATGAGATTATGTAGATTTAAGTTAGTGGGTCGTAGAAAAAAAAAACTGTACAACTCGAGTGGATTGTCCGTATCGCATTGAGACGAGAGCACTCCGCCTACTACTATTCTAGAGCATAAAATTAGCAAAAATATATACAACAAACCGAATTCTGATATATCTCATGGAGACAGATATATAGCACTTGCCACTCTAGATAGCCACTGTTCCTTATGAATCACAAGGAGCAAAAAATAATTGATATTTCAAAAGCAAAAAATTGACAAAAAAATATGGTGCAAACCGGATTCTGATATATCTCCTCCAAAGATACAACACTTTCCACAGTAGCTTAAATATTAAGCAAGCGTAGCCAATGTTTCCCGCTAACGACAGAAGCAAAAACAAAAAATTGGTAAAAAAATATAGCAAAAAAAAATAACCAAAAAATATAGTATAAGTCGCTCTGCTGGATTATAACTTTGCCATACCATACATTAAATCAGAGGTAAATTTATTACTCGGAAGACATTTTTTCAAATTTGGAAGCAAATGTAAATTCGATGGGACCAAATCTTTTGAATAAGGTGCATGAGAAACCAGCTTGAAGCCTAATTGAGGAATTTATGCGATGACAATTAGCAATTTGTTGCAGCAGAATATTATTTTTGATTATTTTCAAAAATCACCATATATATATCCTGTTTCTCTATGAAAATCTTATATTTTATTCAGATATACTTGACTAACTAAAAGTTATATTCTGATCTAAGCTAAGTTGTAAAAATAACGCGAATTTTTTTTATCAAATTTTATAATTTCTTCAACATTCAACACTACGATCTTACCCCCTGTTACCATAGTCTTTTAATCTCTCTAAAATATAATGAATTTGTATTTCTTTCAATTTAAGTGAATAATTACATCTAAAGGTTTCAAAATTATATATTGAGATAGATCAGTCGGAACAACTAAAAATGTTTTGTTTAAAACATCTATTCACGTAATATGTATTTGATTTGTTTGTTCAATTGCATTTTTCGTTCCTACAAGTATGCAACGCTGACACAAGAATGGACGAATAAACTAACTGATATATGGGAACTTGATACGAACCAGAGACACATCAGAATGGAACCATAGAAACAAACCTAATATTTAATTAAACAGAACGATGCATATTCAGATTTATATCCTATTAAATCAGGGTCCTGGGACCAATACGGTATCTCTTATACACTAGTGATCTAACAAGAGAAACAATGTTAGCAACGTATGTTAATGATAGAGCTGACGTCCATCACATAGAGACCCGGTAGTGACGTCTAGCACATCAATCTCAATAATGTCCAAGATTAGCTTAAGAAGTGTCTTATAATCCACCTGCACAACTGGCATACTCGTACATGGAGGAAACAGTTATATTCTGATCTAAGCTAAGTTGTAAAAATAACGCGAATTTTGGTTGACAGGTGACGTGTCCCAAGTCATCAGTGTTAAAAACAATCCACATTTTTATCCAAGCTCAAGCAGCTAGGACTGAAATTAAATTAAGTGCATTGGACTGTCGGCACTAAGTTCAAACAACAAAATCAAGGTTCCAAAACAAAGTGTTATGTACCCAACATGGTTATTCAAAAAGACATTTGATTCCATCAGTAAAATATGAAGACTTTTTCAAAACTAACACATGTCCAGAAATGCTCGAATTGAGTTAACTGTGACAATTAGTGGCCAATCGTTATATTTACGGGTAAAAATTATGATTTTTTTAGAAAAGTAACAAAGAAACAGTGATATTCACCGTAAAATAGTATAGAATGTTAAAAAAAAATGATTTTGGAGATATGTTGTTTTTGTAAAAAGGTCTTCAATGTATTTCGTTCGATTTTTTAAATTCAGGGTGGCTTTGATAGTCAAACTTGCGCACTCTGTACAGTAATACTGACACTGACAAAGTTCTTCTTGCTCGCAAGCAGTCCACCAAAATATGTAATGTTGCATGTCCCTTTTATTTTTTTATATTTTAAACCTTTTCATAAGTGAATGTCATACATGTATCGGAATTCCGGCGGTACCACTGAGATCCATTTGCACCTCTGTCCTCTAGTCGTTAAGAAATAAGCTAGCTTAAATTGACATTTTTTCATTAACAATTTCATTTTAAGCTTCGCTTATTTATTAACGACTAGCTGTGCAAATGGCTCTAAAACCGGCGGATCCGGTCTATCGACCGAAACATAGTTCCGGCAAATGCGGTCCGGCCGGAATTTTCGAAAATTTTAAAATAGGTTAAATATAAACAAAAAATATCTAGCAGATTGAACTTTATTACATTGAAAGTCGTTATAAGCAATGACTTTTATCTAACAGTTCTAAAGCCATGTTTGTAATAACGTGGAACGGAGTAGATCAAGGTTCCCAATTGGTATAATTAACGTACTTTATACGTAATTCTCGTTTAAATTTGGTATTGGCTGATTCCGTATACGTTTACAGTTTACGATTATAATAACATATCGTTTTTTAAATGATATACGTCCTATGGTATATAATTGTAAATTATTCTACGTATTATTATTATTTTGGAATAAACTAATGTAAGTTTTTTTTGAAAGATTTATTTAAAAAAATTGTTCATTTTAACTCTCTATGCTGGAATCTTTCCTTATTTATAAAAAAATGTTTTATATCCCATAATCTTCTCTATGGCTGATTGGACGGTAGTTTACAGCTTCTAAATTGAACCCTTTCTTGTACATATGTATAACAGTTGTTCTCTTCCATTTTTCGGGGACCATGAATTCAGTTAGGGATTCATTCATAACTCGGGCAAGTAGTTCGCTTAATTCCTCAGCACAAGTCTTAAGTAGGACAGGTGAGACTTCACCTGGTTCAGGGGCAGCATGGCTTTTTTGTAGTTTTAGTGCTTTAACTACTTTTTGAGGTGTTTTGAGATTCAGAAATAATGTGATTGTCATGATTTCTCAGAATTAAGGCATTGATAATAATATTGACAATATAATAATTAGCTAGATAATTAAATTGGTCTTTTTGGTAATTTTTGTGATGTGTGTTTCCCATTTTAGGTCAGATTTTAAAGTGATTCCTAAGTCTTTTTGTTTTATTACGATGTTATTTCCGATAAAAAATTAATCATCTCAACAGCCTTGAAGGAACTCTATTTGCTCCAGATTGTTAGGACAGTTGTAAATTCCATTAATTATATTATACACATTTATTAAAAGTAATTTAAAAAAAAAACCGAGTTCAAAATCGTGCAAATGCCATTACCACTAGAGCTGTGGTATTCGTTACTCAGTAACGGGCAGTCGGTCAGATACGAAATACGAATTCGTTACTGCATTTTAAATTTCGTTACTCGCATCCGCATCGTCGCATAACGCACAATAATAATACTTGAGAATACATACCGCCACCGGTTCGGTGTGCAAGATGCGAGATGGCCCGATGGGCGATGCGAAATGCGAGTGTGGCCTTGATGCGAATCGACTATCGAACCGCACGTCGACTGGGACTCGGAGAGTTCGCAACGTACTTTTGTTTATATTTATGTTTTTATTTATTTCAGTTTTAAAGAATAGTATAATAGTTGTTTTTCTGTTGCGTGTTGCAAGAATATAATATGTTTTTGTTTATTAAAGTTATGATTTTATAGAGTATTATTATTGTTTCTACTAGTGTGTTAGAAAAATATATATGTTTCTGTTCAACCTGTCTGACGATATTTTATTTTGCAAAACTTCACATCAGTTCTCATTGCTCATGCTCAGTGAACTACACGACTTTGTTACTAATTACAAATTCGCTATGTATTTATTTAACCAACGATTCGATATCTAATTTCATCCACACCCTCTGTTAAACAGTACCAAAACCTAACAACCGAAGCAATGCGTACGTACGATTAGTTACCGACACCAATTCCGCATCCGCATAGACGTGTATGAGGTCCACACGATGCGTGTTCTGTAGATTCGTATCACAGTAACGAAAGTAACGAGCAACGAATATTTTTATACGGGTAGTCAGATCCGAAGTAACGAATACATACGGGTATTGATTTTCTCGTTACTTTTACAGCTCTAATTACCACATATTAACCAAATTTATATGGGACAACCCCTGAGTTATCCCCTTTCTAACAAAAAAAGAATCATAGAAATCGGACCATACATAAAAAATGAAGAGTTTGAGGATTTTCTCATGGAACCAATTATTAGATTTTGACCAAATTTATATGGAACCATACTTGAAGTTGTCCCAATTCTAACAAAAAAAGTACATTGAAATCGGATACCATGTTAAAGAATTATCGCTGATAATACATAAAAAAATATATACCAACGAATTAAGAACCTCCTCCTTTTTTGAAGTCGGTTACCAATAAAAAATACAACTTAAAGTCGTCTGGCATCTCATTTGCAGGAGTTTAAACTAAATCCTTGCAGATGACACTTCCTGATGGTCCCATCCGGAGGTACGATCAGACCACCTTGCGACCGCTAGCTCTTAGATTAATAAGAAATTTTCATTTCAGACTAGCCGCCTCTAAAAAGTTCAAGCCAGATAGCTTAGGAACAATTGAAAGGACATCGCACTGGACCAACATGCAAATGTGTAGCTTTATTCTAATGTTTCACAGGTAATTCATGTTCTAAACTCTCCATTGATTGGGCTAGTAAGTATTGAAAATTTTATTTTCTGATATGGCTGAAATTACTAACATTTTTATGTAATGAATTATTTAACCGTTATAGTTCAGAGATAATACTTGAAACACAATTAAAATAACATCTCGTCAAAAAATATTTTGCTTACCTGATGGGAACTTGTAGCCTGCGTTTCGATACTTGTAGTTCTAACTATGGTCTGATTATTGCTTATTATCAGCGGCCCTGAAGTAGGGCTTTGCACCGGCTCGTGTTTCACTTGTGCAGGCGGCGACAGATTTAAGCTGGACGGATTCACGATGGTAAGCTGATTATTATGATAATATACCTGTAACAGACAATTTCAGGTATTCGAAACATAAAATTTACAGGTTTACTGACACACACTTAAATACATAACATCCAAAAATATTGTTACTGGCATTTTTCTGATAAAATTATAATAATCTTTTTTTGTAGACAAATTCCACACATATTTAACTGTATTTAACTTTTTAACGCTCAACATTTCTAACATTTCTAAGTCCCAAAAAAAAAAAAATAACGTCTGGGTATGTGTATGTCTGCATGTGCGCCGACACGATAACTCTAGAACAAAAGTTCCAATCGACTTGCGATTTTGATTTTGTGATAATTTCTTACAGCTGAGAACTCTATTGATTTTCAGAATTTTCGGTTTAACTTTACTGCTTTATATAACAGTGTTTATAAAATGCAATGAATTTCTTGTAGATCTTATTTTATGAACTGTAGCAAAGGTACTACTGATTTCGCTAGATTTCAACTGTAAAACCAATTTCTATATTTCTGCCATTCTCAATTGTCAAATAAATTTGAAAATATTTTGAACGATTGGCAGAAAGACTTCGGTCGATCGCCCTTTGGGATTATCCCCAATAAATAGTTTTTTTTTTTTTGAACGATTTTATTTGAGTGGTTAGGTATTTATTGTAACTGAAATAATAAGTGAAAATAATTGTTTTAAGTAGAAATAAATCTGGATCTTACATCAACAACACACAGGATGGTCTAGTGATGATTTTTGTAGGAGTATTAACGAACCCTGAATGAAACTTGTATGTGAATTTTATAAAAAAAAAAAAAAACAAAGGGCCCAAAGATTATTACCATATGGGTAGGCTTAATGGATAAAGAGATCAAATATTTTTAACATGGACATGTTTAGGGTATAAAAGGACCAATTAGTTTTACATGGGCAGGCTTAAGAGGTAAAGAGTCCAAATATTTTTACAATGGTCGACATAAGGAGTAAAGAAACCAAATATTTTACATGGACCAGCTTAAGGAGCAAAGGGACAGACTTAACCATTCAGGACGGCCGTTGGAAACAGGTGCGCACCTCCATCAACTGAGCGCGGAAAAGCATGTCTGGGAATTAATGCATAAAAGTACGGCGCCAGGCCTGCATTGTTTGAAGTTCAAACAATTTCCAAAGCCTAATCAAAAGGTGACACATGAAATGGTACTTAAAAACAAGGGTTAGCAAGGTGAAGAACTTCTACCTGGCTTAGCCTAAGTAATGCAAATGCTTCATAAACCTGAAAATTCAATGTCTTAATGCTTCTCATAATCTTTCGATGTCTTGTTCAAATTCAAATTGAGTCTTTTATGCTAAAAGTTTGTCCGTGGGCCCACAATGCAAATAATTTAGCTTCCCTCAAATATATTATATTTTTTTTTGTAAAGTTAATATTTATCGACTTATTACACTGTACATAATTATAATAATTATGTGGGATTTACTGTGAGATATTTTGAATGCAAATACATAAAGTTTGGCGTGCTATATCTCAGTAAATAATAACTTTAGGAACAAGTTTCCAAAAAAAAAAAAATCTAAGAAGAGGTCATTTATTTATTTATTTCATTTATATTTATGGTGCTGTAGCACAAACAAAGACATACATGTTATATAAACTAGGAAAAATTAAAATGGTTAGTCGTAGGTTAAAAAAGAAAAATACACAGTAAAAAATTGACATTAAAGGCATTAAGTAATTGAGTTTTTAATGATGGAAAGAGAATATTAAACAGCCTGAGATCATTGTGTAAGTTAGCTAATCTAAGCATTCTTGGAATGCAACTGTTTATAGTTGCCTAGTTGAACGAGTTTGAACAAAAAGATTTATTGTTTTGAGAAGTTCAGGACAATTACATCTACTATTTATAATATTAAATAGCAAAGTAAGGCCTTACTATTTTCGCCTAGTTTCCAAGGAGGGAATGTTCAGAAACTGTTCCATGAAATCATATTCACAATAAACACCCTATTTAAAAGCTATATGTCTAAGAAAGTTGTGCTGAACACTGTTTATTTTTCTACTATACATTATATAACGGAAGAGCGATAGTCAAGGTGGGGTCTGACTAGTGAACAATAAAGAACTTTAATTGCAGTTGTGAATAAAATCATGGGTCAACCTTTTGATAAAACCCAACATTTTCATGGATTTGTGAACAGCAGCAAATATGTGTTGACTAAAGCTTAAAGTGGGATCAAGAATAATTCCAAGGTTTTTAATTTAATAAACAGAGTATAACATTTGCCCATTTAAGTTATAGTCAAATGTAGTTGGAGGTAGATGGGAACGATAAAAAAGCATGATATGGCATTTAAGTCCATGCTACTCTGATAAATTATCGAGGTGTCTGAAGTCTACTGGCATCATCATGGGTTTTAACAATTAGGAAAAATTTTAAGTCAGCTGCAAAAAATAAAGCTTTGTTGTTACGAAAACAATGAATTATATCATTAATAAATAATTTAAACAGTAAAGGTGCTAGATGTGACCCCTGAGGTTACTTGAAATAAGTTAGAATAGTGGTGATTAGCTCTAACCATTTGAGTTCTATTAATAAGATAGCTACCAATCCATTGCAGTAGTACCCCACCCAGACCATATTTGTTAAGCTTTTGTAGTAAGAGAGTATGGTTAACCCTGCCAGAAGCTTTGGAAAAGTTGGTATAGACAGAATCGATTTGTAAACCTTTTTACAAGGCTACTGTCAAGAAGTTGACATAAGTGACTAAATTTAACTGTTTATTTTCCAGCACAAAAACCATATTGTTTTTCAGTTATGATGCCGGAGCAGTCATAAGTGAGGTAATCAGTTATACTGTTTGCAACCAATTTAGGTATTGTGCTGAGAATTGAGATGGGTCGATTTAAATCTGCCATTATCTAAAATTATTTGAAATCCCCCAATGTCATAAAATTTATAAGAAAACAAATAGAAAATACATGTCATATAAAATTTTAATGTTTTAACCATTTTTGTCATAAGACTTGCAATACATAAAATTAAATGTTTCCCTTAGCTGGGAGTCGCAAAAAAAAGTACAGACTATCAGGTGAAGATGGTATTTAAGACTTACCTTATCAGGAGGCAACAGCTTGCCGCTGGCCAGAATCTTCTGCTGCTCCGTGAAGAGATTCTTTAGCATGTTCTGCATCTCAGTATCGCCCGACGTTAGCCTGGCGGAAAGGCTCTGTATCTGAAGCTGGATGTTTTTCAGATGCTGCTGCTTCTGTGGAGTGAGTTGGATAGTGGTGATCCTTTGTTGGGGTTGAGACGTGGGCGGTGTTACATTTGCAGTACTTGCCACGTTGCTCATATTGTTAGATTCTTCTAGGATCTGCACAAGGAGTTTGTCGACGTCCGGATTTGTATTGCTACCTGTTAGGTAAATTTTTAATGAAAATTGGGTTTTAAAATTTGCCACTACGAAGATCATTCGGTAAATAAGTGGCCTAGAACAGAGACAGCGCGAATTCAGAGGAATTTACTTTACCATTAAGTAGAATCAACTTTTAATTGGTTTAAATATGACAGTACAGAGCGACCTGTCAATCTGTTTTTGGAATTTTGTAAACAATGGAAAAAACTGAGTTGTAAGCAGTGATAAAGTACATTTGAAAGTTTTAACATCAATCGAAATCAATTCAGAGTTGTATTCAACACCATTAGAATCCGCTCCTTCGTTTTTAATGGTAAAAAACTGGGTTGCGAATTTAAGCTTGGTCGTACAAGCACAAATGAGAACTCCATAGTGAACATTCAAAAACTGGTACTGCCTCGGATATAATTGAAAAAGTCCACTGCGTTGTATGGCAGACAAGTGGATATCTTAAATGACAGTGTGCACAGAATTTTAACTGAATAATTGGAAAGTAAAAAATACTCAAACTGAATCGTTTGAGTGGTTCTCATGACCTGTTGGCATGTTATCGCCACAATCCGCCGTTTCATAAATGAAACCTGGGTACACCAATAGAATTCCGTAACCAAAGAATATTCTAAATAATGGACACACAAAGGTTGTCCAACACCAAAGATGTCAAAAACGATTTTGTCAGCAGGAAAGATTATGGCAACTGTATTTTGAGATTCTTGTAGAATTATCTTCTTCGACTATTTAAAAAAGAGGAAAATAATAAATGGAGAGTATTATGTCATTTTGTTGCAACAACTTAGTGACAAAATCATAGAGAAATGGCCTCATTTGGTAAAGGAGAAAGTGCCTTTCCATCAGGATAACACACCTGCCCACAATGGACAAAATTCCTAAATTGAAATTTGAATTAGTGCCTCATTGACCCTATTTGCCAGATTTGGCTACCAGCAATTATCATTTGTTGTCAAACCAGAAAAAATAGCTTCGTGACAAGATATTTTTGTCTAATTTCGAGGTAACAGCTCCTACAATAATTAAGACAGTGCTAATTTGAATAAGTGTGTTGACCAAATGGGAGACTATATTGAAAAATAAAAGAGTTTTCTTTGTTAGGACACACATAGTTATCGAACAATCCTCATATATGATTTTGTTATTTTTTTTTTCTCTATTTTAAATATTCAATTTTCCTAAATTTTACATTCTCCAAATAATCTTTTTTGCACAAAAAAAATATATTTAAAGATCAATTTATTTCTTACCGTTTGAATCTTGCGAAATGACTGTAGGTGCGACTTTCTGCTGCTTTGGAACCAGAGCAGGTGCAGGCTGCAAAGGTACAGGCTTCGGCCGTTCGATCTTGGGCTGTATTTGCACCTGCACTGAGGGCTGGACCATAGCCTGGGGCTGTACTGGTTTGCTCTGTTGCATTGGCTGAGGCTGCACGTGGTTTTGAGGTAGAACATGTTTAGGTGGTGCATTTAAGGCACTAACTATGGATTTGGTGGCGTTTTCCTTCATCGCTTCCAGATTATTGCTCACTTTTACGGAATCGGGTTCAGAATCCTGTAAGAGTTCAAAAGTGTAAATTATTTTTGAAAGTTAAAGGTACGAAAACTAAAGTATGCATTTGGAAATGGGCAAATGAAAACCCGCATTCCCACTACGAACCCAAAGTGAAAACAAACCAAAAAGAAAAACCTGAGAAGAAAAAAAATGCATGGTCTAACCAGAGATCGAACCTGGATCTCCGAGTTTATGCTTCGTCACTCTTTATTGTGTTTAGGTTGATTAAGTTATTTTTGCTGATTAATTAATATTTATGGAGAAATGCGATCAAATTTAACGGAATATCCAACTTATTTTGCAAGATGTAACTGCGGTTTTTTAACCAAAATCAAGTTCACATTAAAACGTATCGATAGGTATACAATAAACTATTTAATTTACACTTTTAACAGATTAAATTTTCACAAATTGCGGACGAAAACAAAACGAACATATTTTGACATATTAACGTATGGTTTATAGAAATGTACTTCGAACACTTAATATTATTCTCATGGCATGGTTTTGCATTTTTTGGAGACGACTTATTTCATTTTGGTCGTCTAATTATAAAATTGTAGGACAATAATAATTTAAATGTGGCAATATTATAGTGTTGAAGATTGTTAATTTTGACCATTGGCTAAGATGTGGCGAACATCGTCTTAAATAATTAATTTTAAAGGCTATAGTTTTAATAACTTAATTTGCATGCTCCTTAAATTTTAAATAATAATAATAATAATAATAATCTTTATTTTGAGGAACAATCATAATACATATAAGTAAGACAATTCTTAAACAAAACAGTGTAAAGGAAAATATATTAATGATCACATAGAGTAATTATTGTCAATAGTTACTCCTAAATAAACAATTTTTTTTACTATTTTTAAATTTTCATCACCTAGATGTTATATTTAAACTATCTTCCCTATACCTATTTTTTACGCCGAATATACATTTAGCTTTTTGAATATTAATTTTTAACAAATTTGCACAACAATATATATGCACCCTCTTCAGGAAGTCGTTCATGACTCTTGTGCAGTGCGTCAGATCACTGCTTCAGAAATACAGTAAAGTATCATTTGCAGATAAATGAATTTTGCATACCCCTGCAATGTCCAAAATATCATTTAAATAAAGCTTTTTCCAATACTTTAGCAACAGCATTAATCATATTAACTGGTCTTAAATTCTGAGCTTTATTCGTATTTGGTTTTTTGGCTATAGTAGATGTTTTCATTTCTGTAGGCACTTGACTTAACTCTAAGGAACTATTAATTATGTATAATAGATGATTGCAAATATATTTGAAACATTTTTTTAATATCTTTACACTGATATCATCCAGACTACTTTTATTTTTCAATGAACTAATTATTTTCTCTAATTCCTCTAAACTAATTAAATTAAAAGTGGTCATTTTATTAGTAATAACTATATCTACTACTGGAAAACAAATTGTCAACTTTAATTCCCTAAAATAGAAAAAATAAAAGCCCCTCTCAAATGCCAAAAAAAATCCAGTGTAATTTCATGTATGGTACCACCAAGAGAAAAATGGAATTTTTTTAGTTGACGTTTTAAAATAACAGCATTTGATTTTCTATAAAATAAAGGTGTAAAATGTTCTTTTTAATTTTAACCAACCCTGTGTCTTAACACTTTTATACCTTTAATCATTTATGTTTAAGATCATAAACAGGTTCTCATCAACTTACCTGCAAAATATTCTTTATACTCTGAATCTTGCTGACTTTCTTGACCGCCTTAGTTTTCGGCGACAGTTTCTTTTCGATTTGTTCCTTGTTCGGCCTCTGCATGAAGATCGTCTGACCATTGACGGTTAATTGACCATTGCGCTTCAGTTGCTCCAGCTGATCGGGCGTCAAATTGACAACATACGACGTTGGTGGGGGGTTTTGTGATTGTTGATTGTTTTCATTTAGATGTTGGGTCTGTTGCTGCTGTTGTTGTTGTTGCGGCTGCTGGTTGATGTGATGTTGAATAGGTTGCACGGTCTGTACCGGTGGTTGGGCTTTTTGGAATGGTTGTACCTGAATTAATAAACAATATGAAAGGTTTACAAAAAATGATTCATTGTTTCAAGACATTTATCTAAATTAAAGGACTTTTTGCCTCAAAATTTGTTACTTATAATCTGATAAATTGGAAAAGTTTTTAAACTGACTATTTCCAGTATATTTTTCTCCAAGATTATTTTATGACTTGAAACTAATTTTCTGTCAAAATCAAATTTCTAAAATGTTCAGAATTTTCAAACACTTCCATCTTTTCAAAAAGGTTAAATGAACATCGACTTTTGACTGAAAAAAAAAAAAAAAATCACAATAGACTTACTTTCAAAACAGGCTGATTTTGCACATGATTTTGATTCACATGAAAATTCTGCACAGGTGACTGAATTGGCTGCGGATGTGGCCCTGGCTGCAAGCTTTGTACACTCCTCACGTTCTGCTGGACACTTTGAATATTCTGCAAGTTCTGTAAATTTTGCACATTCTGAACGCTTTGCAGATTCTGAACGTTTTGAAGATTCTGCACATTTTGTACGTTTTGCATATTTTGCACGTTTTGCATATTTTGAACGTTTTGCATATTTTGAACATTTTGCATATTTTGCACGTTTTGCATATTTTGCACATTTTGCATATTTTGCACATTTTGAATATTTTGCAGATTCTGCATGGTTTGTGAGTGAACATTCTGTGTGGGAACGTGCGAATGCTGTACAGTATGATTCTGTTGCTGGAGTAAACTTTGTATTTGACCCTGAATTTGGGACTGCAGACTATGCACTTGAGATTGTGACATGGTATGTATAGGCTGAACTTGTGAATGAATACTATGGATTGGTTGCGGTTGCACAATCTGCATTGGTTGCTGTAAAGCATTCACAGTTTGATGCTGTATTGTCTGTTGTACAGTCTGTTGTTGTATTTGAGGTTGCAAAGACTGTATTGTATGTTGCACAGCTTGGGGTTGGACAGTTTGCTGCTGCACAGTCTGTATAGTTTGGCTCTGCACAGTCTGCTGCTGTATCGTTTGCACTGATTGCTGCTGAATGGTCTGTACCGTTTGCTGAACGGTCTGTTGGTCCATCGAAGGTTGCAAAACCAAACCACCCAAAAGACTTTGTAATATTATCTGCGACTGAAGATCTGAATTGATAGTAGGGTCATGTTGTAGCACCAACCGACCATCTTCGCCCATCGTCAGTTTAAAACCGCCACTTCTTTGTAGCATTAGGCCATTATTTATGGTAAAATTTGGAGCTATGAATGAATTGAAAGGTATACCGGCTTGCGCTGTAGCTGCCTGTGATGTACTATTTGAGATCATGCCACTCTGGAAGTTTTGATTTAGCACCTAAAAAAAAAAATAAGTGATAGGATTAATATCAAGTATTAGGCATTCCAACGACCTGTCAAACTGCTGACAAGTGGGAACTGACATTTATATATGGCAATCCTGTGAGCCTGTTGTTATTGACTGGGTAAATGATACATATATAGTTATATAGATTGTTCAAAGCGGGTCGTTTGCGAGCGGCCATATTACCTCGCAAGTGCTCATTAATCAGAATTGATTTCGCAAAAATGTGTGTGCAAACCAATATTTAGCCTTTGAATACAGTAAAAAAAAAATAATTACCTACATTTTTACTTCAAGGCATAAGCTTATGTTTATTTTGAAAAATATAGATGATCAATCTATGTAACTACCTATTTCATTGACCTTGTCAAATCACCAGGCCTACAGGGTTGCCATATCATAACCTGTCAAAACCCACTGGAGCCATTTTGTTTGGAATGCCTAATTGTAAAAAGTGACTTATGACAAAAATAAATATATTTATTAGAGTGATTGTTAAAAATTAAATTTTTTCCAACGCCTTAAAAAACCTTCCTTTTGATGAAAATATAGTTTATTTTTTCATAAAATCACAGTTTTTATAATAATAATAATAATAATAATAATAATAATAATATTTTTATAGACCATTTAAAATACAATATTTGAAAAAAAATAAAATACAATTTAAAAAAAAATTAAAGTACCAGAAATAAACATGGTCAAAAGGTCCTAAGATCAGCTCAAGCTGTTCTTCCTCAAAGGCCTGCAAATGTAATCTAAACTAATCTAATAGGGTGTAACACATGTATATAATAAACAGAACTAAAACAAACAAAAAAGTACTATGGGCCGTTTGCATCGCTGGTCATCAAGAAACAAAAGACTTTTATTTTTTAAGGAAAGATAATAACGACGAGCGGTGCCGATGGATCCTAGTAATTTATATAAACTAAACAAAATCAAATTACAAACTTACAAATTTGTGAATTGGTCATCATATAATATTTTAAACATTTTTGTTTTAAATGATGCTATGGATAAATTAATTAGGGAAACAGGAATATTATTATACTCCTTCGCTATCTGGTATGAGAACGAGTTTTTAAATTGTTGTGTTTGGTGTTTTGGAATCTCAATAGAATTTTTTTTTCGTGTATTTCTACTATGAACATCAGAACGATAAATAATTTTATTCCAAAGATATGGAGGACTTTTTTTAATTAAAATTTTGTGAAACAGGGTTAATGAATGAAGTTTTCTCCTATTTAACATATTTAACCATCTGGCATTTGCTAGTGTATGGGAAATTCTATCAAATTTTTTAATTCCATATATAAGTCGAAGGCAGGCATTTTGTAGTTTTTGTAACCTATTTGAATCTGTTACTGAAAGACAAGGTCCATATACAAAATCACAATAATTTGCATTACTTAGAACGAGAGAGTCACAGAGTTGTATCTTTAGTTTTTTGTCAAATAAATGTCTGCTATGATATAAAGTTTTTAGTTTAAAAAAGGATCTTTGTAGAACATAAGAAACATGATCTGTGAATTTCAGTCGATTGTCTAGTATTATCCCCAAATTTTTTGCTTTTTGAACAGTTGGTAGAGCCACATCATTAATTTTTATAGACACGTTAGAAGAAGCAGCTCCAAAAATATCTCTTAAAGTAGACGGATTTGAGAAAAAATCTGAAAATTTTGATTTTATGGAGCAAATGAGTTTAATATTGAAACTGTCTGCAAAATATGAACTTTATGAAAAAATCAAATGAGAGCAATTTTGTAGGAAATAAATTTCTCTATAAAAAAGGTCTCGTTTGATTTTTTTTTTTAAAGCACTCAGTTCCATGCAGGTACACTCAAAGCTTGTGTGGGACTGTTTGGAAGCCCTAACAGAGCTGGGTAGTCAAAACAGACTAACCTTAGCCTGGGTACCAGGCCACAAGGGACACAAGGGCAATGAAGAGGCTGATTTACTAGCCCGAGAAGGAGCCTCAAATGCTCTTATTGGCCCAGAACCCTTCTGTGGTGTAACAAAAACAACTATCAGAACATGCACAAAGCAGTGGATGTTTAAAAAATCTCAGGAGTGGTGGAAAAACTCACCAGGACAGAGACATGCCAAAAAGTTCTTAAAAGGACCATCATCTAAACTCACCGAGCATCTACTAAGCCTTAATAGGAAAAATACTAGAATTCTAGTAGGTCTATTAACAGGACATTGTAGGCTTAACAAACATATGTTCAATATCGGTCTGACAGAAGAGGCCTTGTACCGATTCTGTCAAGAAGAAGAGGAAACGGCAGAACACGTATTGTGCTACTGCAAAGGTCTAGTAAGACTGAGATTCCTTACACTTGGAGAAGAAAAACCAAGGGCAACTAGCTATACCGGAGAACTACTTCCCAGTCTATGGAGTCTACTACAAAAGACCGAATTAGACAAGGTACTCTAAACAATGATTAAAGGATATCCACAATAGATCTGAAAAGGTCGAGGTGGGGGAGGCCACATGGCCCATAGTCCTAATTAAATCTTATCTTATCTCGTTTGATTTTTTCATAAAGTTCATATTTATGGAGTTATTCTCAATAATAAACTCATTGACACCATAAAATCAAAATTTTCAGATTTTTTCTCAAATCCGTCTACTTTAAGAGAAATTTGGAAATTTTATGAAAAAATAAACTTCAATCGGCTTGAGGCACGTGTTCTGGTTGTTAAAAAGAAAACAACAAAAAATTCGCCATATTTTTTTATCAAAAGGAAGATTTTTTAAGGCGTCAGAAAAAATTTAATTTTTAACAGCCACTCCAATATTTCTAGGTTATAAATGACAAAGAGCACATGACTAACCTGTACCACAGGAGTGGCTGTGTTTATTGTAGGCTGCGGCATTGCTGAAATTTGAATGTTTTGTATATTTTTCTTGGTATCTGTGTGTACGTAATTGGTTTGAGCCTGGACAGTACTGTGTACTACCTGTTGGGGCTGAGGAGTCGTAGGAACGGAATTGTGCTCACTCTCACTCTGTGATGTGTCACTTTCGAATTGAATGTCGTCTTCGTCACCTGAAAAAATGTTTTTAAAAATATATCTTGAGGCTATTGAAATGTCCAAATGTATTACCTATTCCAGAAAGCTTCATTATGTTTGCGAGGTCGAGTTTCTTTTTCACTTTGTTTTTGGGTTTCTTTTTGAGTTGTTGCTGTTGTTGTTGCTGTTGCTGGACCAAATGGTGAGCGTGATTGTTAACTATTGTTTGTTGTGCGATGTGGGTAGCGTTGTTAGCATGTTGTGGGCCCATCTTTAAAAAAATTGGTATTATTAGTAATATTGTAAAGGGTTCATTGCTGGCCGAAAAAATCTGGTCAATAGCCCTTTGGCTTTTTTCCCCATGTTTATTGTACAGAAGTCTTAATCTGCTATTTTTTTTAGACATCAATGTTATCCAAAATGATCTAAATTGAAATTATTAAAAATAATAATGAACCTAGTGTAAATATTTCATGGTAGTTATTTTAAACTTGCTATCACAAATTTTAGAGAAATATGCCTAAATAGAAAGTTGTTCTATAAAAAGTTCATGGATTGATTCTTACCTGGGTCACATAAGTAGTAGTAGTAGATGGCGCCAGATGCATACCATTGGTCAGCACCCGCACCATGGGCTGCGATCTGGGTGGTTGTATTTGCAGCAACTGCTGTCCACTAGGCTGGAGGATCAACCCTTGAGGTGTCGCTGTTGCTGTCTGCATCTGCTGTTGCATTTTGGCACCCGTTTGTGGCCTCAGAATGAATTGAACACTGGGCGTGTGAGTCAGCATGGGCATTTGGTTAAGAAGGAGAGGTTGAGCAGTTGGAACTATGGTCGCTGTTTGTTGGTGGTTCGTTGGTATCACAATTTGAGGGCTATTGTAGCGAAAATAGTAAAAAAAAATATTTCTGCAATTAACTTAGAATATTAATGTATTGTATTTTCAGTAATATTTTGAAAGGTGTCTTTTGGTTATCTAGTTCTGGATTGTACACACAGTTTTAATGAAAGTGAAGTTTTCTCAATATGTAACCTCCACAAGTATTTGTTAAAAGCAAACGAAACACCTTGAAAATTTATAATTTCTTTTGCGCCTTTATTTTTAGTCCGATTTTTGTGAAATTTTCAGGAAATACCAAAAAAGTATTTATTTTGAAAATTTTAAAAATAAAAAAAAAACATTTATGCCATTCTGAATTAAATCTATAAAAATTTGCTGCTTTATGTTTTGATAATATCTAGTAGTTTTTAAATGGAAAGATTTCCCACCTTTCTTTCATAAAAGGTCTTTGTAGAGTACTATCTTATCATTGAACAAATTTAAAGCTCTCTATATTCTCGAGCAACAAAATATTTGTAGTATTTCCAGTGGCGCACTTATAAATACAATTTTATATTAGAAAAAAAGATAATTAAAACATTTTTGCTTTCGCAAGAGGTCTGGTTTGCTCTTAATATTGTTATAAATAAAAAAAAACTCTGAATCACTTAAAAACAATAAAAACAATTCTTTTAATATTTATTATGACTAAAATGTTATACTTTCATGAAATTTTAAGGAGTTTGAAATGCATTACTGTATATATTTCAAATGTAAATAGGGGATACCTAGTCAATTCTAAATAACCTATGGTTACTTGATACTAGACTGAGATACAGAGTGTTTACTGATGTTTTCTTGTAGTAACAGTTTTATTTTAGTAGCACTGTTTAATACGACATATGATCGATATGGATCGATTTCTGGAAAGGTTTATCTAACTGCTAATATATAACTTGAGGGCAAGCAGAAAAAAGTGCAATTTTGTTACACCCAGATCAAACAATGTGAAGATTGCAAGACTAAAAAAGGTACAGTCATTGAATCAGAGAAAATTAAAGGGAGTGTATCTTTCCACCATCAGGAAATAGTTAAAACAAGCTAAAAGTGTATCTGAATAACTATTCTGTATTGAAACAAGCTAATGACTTTAATTGTATTAAAGTAAATTATACATAGCATTCACATATTCTTGAGAATAATATAGTATCGATGTTGTCATTTAAATAATGGATAGGCCTTGCATGCATGTGGAAGGCAACTTGCTTGTATAATAAAAATAGACACAGCAGTGCATACGACATCTTAGCTGTTTTAGTCCCTATCGAATATGTCAATAAACTAAATAAAGCTGAAGGAAACTACTGCAAAATGGAATGGGAAGTTTTGGCCACCAACTGATCACCAGTGTCTAAATGTCCTGGATATATTGAGGAATAAGATGTCATCTTAAGAAATGGTTATTTACCCTTAAGTAGGGTTGCCATCTTTTTGAAATGTGAAACGAGATATTAACAATCAAAATGTGCATAATTAACACTCTTGAAGCCTGTCATGTACAAAAGCAATGCATTTAAATAAATTTAAAAAATAGATAAATAAGAGCAATGCATTTATTTCAAGATATCTCAAAAAAGGTTCTTTTAAAAACTAATGTAATGCAAATCAAGAAGTTATAAAATTTTCTAGAAACATGATGAATTTTTTGACCGTTTTGGTAAAGATATATATTTTTAAAATAAAAATATTTTTAAAGCAGTCGGGTACAATGATTACACTTGGCAACATTGTAATCACTACAATTAACACGTGGTAACTCAAATGTCTGTTAGATTCAAGTTAGATTACTTTAGGCTGGTTTGCTCTTGAAAAATTAATTCGTCCACTGTATTTGAGAACTGGAATAGACAGTTCTGTTTGGACCAAATCAAACCCTTAAAATTAGTATGAGAAAGTCACAAATTTCTATAGGTATACACACTCACTTGATAGCCCACCATTCATATATTTGTGACGTTGCCAGATGGATTTTACTTGAAATAATAAATGTATGTGTGTACAGTCTCTTACAAATATAATGTATGTGTGTACAGTCTCTTACAAATATAACATTTTTTAGCATTGAGAATCTTGAACTTTTGGTATTCACCATTAGGCGATATTTTTGTGTACAACTACCACAACTGAACTACCTTAAACAAGATTCAAGTCTTGGAATAATAGATGGAATCCCACCCATATGTTCTAATAGTCTTCCTAATCTGCTCATGACAGTTATAAATGACTGTATGCAAAAACAGGAACTGCCAATGGACTGGAAACAGGCTTTAGTCACTCCTATATATTAGAAAGGTGACAAAAAGAATTCCATAAACTACCGTCCAGTCTTACAAGCTGTATCGGTAAAACAATGGAAAAGATTATTACAAAAGAAATAACTGAGTTTATGATGGAACAAAGAGTTTTACATGGATTTAAACCAGTTAACCAGTGGACAGCTTGGAATGACAACAACCAGCCAATTGATGTGATATATCTTGATTATGAGAAAGCTTTTGATTAAGTTCCACATAGAATGCTGCTTAACAAACCAGAACACTTTGGAATAAGAGGCAATCTATTATATTAAGAGTGTCTTGTTCAACCAGCAGTTCTGTGTAAGAATAAAAATCAAACAAGCATCCAGTGGAAAGTGGAGTACCACAAGGTTCAGTCTTGGGTCCCCTATTATTTATTTTATATGCCAGCGATTTATGCAAAATCATCGAGTCCAAAGCCATCTTTTATGCAGACAATAGAAATATAGTAGGCCAATGGAAAGCTCTCACAAAATGAAACAAGACTTGAATAAAATAAGAATCTGGTCCCAGAAATGGCTACTATCTTTCAACATAAATAAGTGTACAGTATTGCACATTGGCCCAAATAATCCCCACACCATAGATACAAATGCAATAGCTCCAGTCGAAACACAAAAGGATCTTGGTGTAATCATATCTAAAGACTTAAAATGGGAAACCCACATTGCTATTGCTAATGTAGTACAGAAAGTCAACAGTCTCATTTACCTTACCAAAAGAGCTTTTAAAGATCATTCCAATCTTAATTCTTAAACTGTACATGACTTACATAAGACCAAAGATAGAATTTGCACAGACCATTTGGGCTCCATACTTTGGTCAAGACATTGAATTGCTGGAAAGAGTAGAAATAAGTCACCAAAATACCACCAACCAGACAAAATAATGAGTATTGTGATCGACTAGCTATACTACAACTTTCAATTTTAAAGGATAGAAGAACTAGAGGAGACTTGATAGAAACTTACAAGTGGGCCAGCAGATATTACACTTGTGATAACATCTTCCAGGCCAGGACATCAAGAACCTCAGAGAAATTAGATAAAGAATAGTGTAATAAACTGCAAAAAACATTCATTACAAACAGAACTGTGTATCTGTGGAATGGTCTCAGCCCAGAACATAAACCAGTTCAAGGCGAGAGTGGATAAAGAATTTGAAGAAGGAAGAAAGAATTTGAAGAAGGAAGAAATAATTTTATTTATTATAGTTCATAGTATATTAGGTTTTAACTGTCATGTACTTAGTACCTAATTTGGAATAATTTTTGTCACTAACTAAAAGAGCAGCTTCATCAACTACATAACTTCCCTGTTCTTAACAATATTAATAATAATTACAAAAGAAATGACACATTGGAAAGCATACATAAAAATAATGTTAAGCCTAAAAACGGCACATAATCTAAATTTCCAGCTGTACAAAAGAATAGATGTTAAATAAAAAGTATTTGTAATTAATCTCTGTATTTACTTTCTTCCTCCATTACAGCTACATTGAACTATAAACATAAATTTGTGGTTTACTAACATCACTTCCTAGGGATCTATTAGACAAAATTTAGGCCAAGTTGATGGATATTTGAAAAACTAGATTAGGGCCCGGTTTGTCAAGTTACAGTGTGCAGAATGCTGTTATATGTCATTACACCAAAGTTTGGAGAAATTTGTGTAGATTACAGGACAAGGGATTTTTCAGTGGTGAGCATATATTGCAATTTCATATATGGCACCTCTTCACACATTATTGGCATTAAATTACTATCTATTATTTGGTTATTCAACCATAGAATCTTGTTTACATAAACATCATCTCAATAATTCATTTTGGTAATATTTTGCAATGTCAATATTTGCAACAAATGTTTAGATACACAGGAAAGTGATCAGTTATGCTATGACTATAAAAAGGATAAACCTAATTCATGATTTTTGTTCCTACAATTAAATTTGTGTAAAAAAATACCTATATAATTTTCTCATCCTTTTTATTTTACCTAAAGTACTGAAGAAGTATATAAGTTTTATTGTTAAATGTATCTCTAGTTAACTATTTTTGTAAAACCACAATAAAACATTCAAATTACTTCAATCAGACATTGAGAGAGGCAAATAGTAAATATCACTGTTTAATACACAAATAATAGAAAAAACACTTACCTAACACTCGGTTTAGGCGAGGGTTGTGGACTAGCAGAGGGTTTCGGCAGAATGTTCAAATGGGGTTTCAACTTGATAATATTCTGCTGTTGTGATGTTTGTATAGGCCTGGCCAAAATATTGTTCTGTATAATCTGCATTACAGGAAAGCTAGGCTGCGGTGTAGGGGGTTTTAATGAAGGACTTGGAGATTTAAGGCTTGCAGGAGAGGAATAAGGAGATGGAGGGTAACTGGGACTAGGATTTGAGTAAGCAGGAGACATACTAGTTATGATCTGAGGCTTCTTAACTAGATTGAGATTATTAGAGCCTACTACAGTACAGTTGGTGCTGAGGTTCTCATACTCGATTTTTTCTTGTTTGATGGTCTGGTAGGTAGAATTCTTCGGAGATTTACACATCTTTTGTATAGGTTTGTGGGGAGTTTGAGACATTTTTTTCACAACACTTGTTTAACCCGATTAAAGCACACTTGTAGGTAAGTACATTCTTCTGAATTATAAGTCCACTTTGGAATGTTGTCCTAATACTAGATCATCTCACTATTATTCAGTACATCCATAGTCTGTATTCGCGGCGAGAACTTCATCATCGCTTATCCGAATTCGAATAAAGCCATTTTATCGTTGTACACATAGAAAAAATATAGAATTAGCAACAGCATTATTTCACAAAAGGGTTGAAAGACATTATGTAGTTTGTAAACACCTAAACGATCGAAAGAAAAACCACCGAACTACAAATTATTCACGGACAACGTATTGTATACTAAAAAATCACAATATCCTTGGTAGTGGTCTGTTTTCTTTTTGTAAACCTGAAACAAATGAAAGAAAACTTAAAATGCAAACATAACCTCTTCAAAAAAGTCAAAATTTACCCGATTACCCGCTATCCTCAATGGCCAAATAACAATAACAAACGAATCTGAGCTACTATCAGCGGATCTACGACCTTCGGTTTTTAATTAGTGGTCAATTGTATTTGTTTATAATTAATTTTGCAAATTTGCAACCACAAATAAGATATCACTCTACCGCCATCTTTTACGATGCGCCTTTTTCTTCTGCTTCTACTCCACCACATTCCCCTCGAACGTCTAAAAGTGGACCAGTCCATCTTGTTCAAGGATTTTTAATAATTAAAATAAATTTGTACGCATAATGCATTCATAATACTCGCATTAATTTGCACTGAATTAGCATGAACAATTTGGCAAGTCCGATTTCGTGTTTAAAATCAATCCCATAAAAAAAATCTTTTATCATATCATTAAAATGAATAAAGGTAAAAAGTGGGTGGGGAATATAAATGAACATCTAGTAGTGGGGATTGAAAAGAAGGCTAAAAATACAAAATTTGCCTGACATTTGTCAATAAATCATTAATATCTTCAATAATTAATAACAATAAATTAATTAACTAATCATATTTTCGATTATTGATGGCCCATAAATAATACCTCTATAAAAAATCAATACGAAAGTAAGGTTACAAAGAAACTCAAGGTAAAAATCCGTGCATTTGATCATGTAAGTCCAGCATCTTAAAAAAACTAATCGTCTTTTTAAATAATATGCCATTTTTAGCTCGTTTCTAACAATAAACAACATGGAACTCCAACCCACACGGTTTTCAACATAAAATGAATAAAATTCTACGTACCTTTTAACAATTTCACTTGATGGGTAAAAACGGGGTTCGCTTTAGTAGGGGCAGGGCAACGGACGATCTGATTGGTCGTCAGGAAGCGTCATTTGATACACAAAAAAATAACATTTACTTTGAGGTTAGATTAACTATGAAGCGATTTTCGACCTTTAAGCACCTGAAAATAAGACCACGTGTTTTCAGTTGTCTCTTTTTGAATAATTTGTAGCTACTTATCACCGTTTAAATGATAATCGGCATTTAAATTCCCCAAAAGCAGCTGTAAAGCTTCTATGACAAAATTTAAATTAAATCTTTTAAATTTTAAGGCGTTAATAAAAATATGAAGTCTACGTTTATTTGTAAATAGGTAGGTAGGTACCTACAGAAATAATCAAAGTCAATTTGGTTATTGTCAATCAATACCTAACTCCCTAAACACAGTGAAATTGTCTTGTCTTTTTTTTTTGTAAATAGATAAATTTCTAAAGATTATCTTAATTATTAGCAGCATCAGCTGAGTAGGGAGTAGGTACACGCTCGAAATGAGTCACGTGCAATGTGTGAACAAAAAAAAAGTTTCGGCAATGGCAAAAAGTGCATAAAAATATCCAGTCAAAACAAAAATCTATATAATGAAAGTGGGCGTAGTTGATCTTCTTCGGTTGAAAGACGACCGGTATTCTAGCGCAGTGATTCTTTGGGTGGGGGCATCAAAGGGGAACGCATCTTTTTGATCGGCGGCGAACAAATGACGATCGGTGTGATAGAAAACGCGTCACACCGTGCTGAATGCGCATTAGCTGAGGCTCGTCAGCGTTGCCGGATTGCACAGACAAATTAAAAATTAGGTCAAAGTGTACAGTACTTCAAACAAGATATTTTTAAAAAATCGAGCTCGAAAATTTGAACGCTAAAAACTTATCAACTAAACTTGACATCTATGAATATTCTAAAAGAATGTGTAGGTATCCGAGATTTCTGAATTCACGAAGTTTTCCAAAACGAGCAGTTATTGTAGCTATCTATATATGTATAGGGGATACCCCGCCCAGACAGCACACCAAATCCTTTGGATATCTACTTGACATCCCAATATCCATTGAATGTCCAGTCCATGGTGGATATCTATTTTATATCCATGAGATGTAATTCATAGACATGCAAATGTCCATAAATAATAGTAATTATATAGCAAATTATTAAAAAAATACGCCATTGTGATTTCTTGTGTTGTCTGGGGATACCCATTAGATATTTTGCTGGATATCCATAGGATATCTTCTATATTCTGGATATAGACGGACATTTGGATATCCATATTAGATCCACGGGATAATTATGATATGTGGATACCTATATTGGATATGCACAAAAGATATTCTGTGGATATCTCTGGGATTTGGTGTGTTGTCTGGGAGGAGACTTTTGACACTTTTTCAAATCTACCTATATCCCTAAAATTCATAAGAAACAAACCTAACCTCCGTTTAATTGTGCTCTGTCAGAAACCTTATTTGACCGAATTAATTATCACATAACATTTGTGATATAGCTACCAACATCAGCGCATCATTGCAGTAGAGGTATCCTAATTGCAAACAAAACTATTGTATATAAAAGATAGCCTTCATCAGACATTTTTGTTCTTATTCTAATAACATACATTTTCAAAAACAATATACCTAAACAGTGCATCGTAGGTACCTATATATGCCTTATCGCTAAACCAAAACAACTTAAAATCCATTTATTTTGTATTTGTATGTGTGAGGTTGGATTTTTTTTTGAACATGTACTTTGTTTATTTAACTATTTTGCATATAAAATTTTCAAATTAACATTAAAAAGCGTAGGTACTGTATAAATCGGAACTTTTGATTTTTCGTCCAATCTGACAACGTAGCATATCCATCACATAAGCGCAAGAAAACCGATAATCAAATGTGTGACCTTGAGGTAGGACAAGAAAGATTAAGGCGGTTTATTCAAAGAATATGTTATGTTGGCGGTAAACAAGCATGGAATATTTTTTGCATTTTGTGGTTTTGGTCCGTTGATTGGGCGCTAATTGGCTAAGCAAACCTACGTCTTTATGCGGATATCCACGATGGTTTTCGTTCGCGCCTAGACTTTGATTATTTAGTGGATGTCCATGGGATATTGAATACACTTTAAAAAAATTAATTTTAAATATCTGAACGGTACTATTAGCCACAATGGCGAGCACAATGGCGTAATTATTTAATAATTTGCTATATAATTACTATTATTTATGGACATTTGCATGTCTATAAATTACATATCATGGATATAAAATAGATATCTACCATGGACTGGACATTCAGTGGATAATGGGATGTTCAGTAGATATCCAACAGATTTGGTGTGCTGTCTGGGCTGTCTTGAAAATACAAATCATTGTCCATTAGAAAATTTTGTATATCCTCTTTCGTCATCGTGTTGAATGTACTCCTAAACAATCTGCGTCTTGACCTTAGATTATACAAAACTTAGATGGAACATAAGACACTGCGCATAATCCCATTTCGAAATTATTCACACCCACCAATCACAGTTGAGAACATCACATGTCAGAGCGTTGTCCATCCAAATTAGGCATTCCAACGACCTGTCAAACAATATGTGCCAGTGGGAAATTCTTGTATATCTAAGGGGGTAGCGACATGTTCTTGCAACTTGGACGCTATTTTTATTCGAAGTAGTAGTCGCCAAGCCTACCAATTTATGAAGAAATGTATAGGTAGGTTTTTTAAATATTATTTTTATTGTGTTTGACATAAAATATTTAAATGTAATCCATTATTCATGATTTTACTTAAAGTAGATAGAATACACAGTATGTCGCCACCCTTATAGATATACCAAACCTTCCCACTGGCAATTCATTTGTTTGGAATGCCCTTAGATTATACAAACCTTAGATGGAACATAAGACACTGCGCATAATCCCATTTCTAAATTATTCACACCCACCAATCACAGTTGAGAACAACATATGTCAGAGCGTTGACCATCCAAATTAAATGTGTCAACGAGAATTAATTTGATATTTAAGTGACTTAAATTTTGGAAATTAACGTTGAAAATGCCAAGATGTGTTTTAAAAAGCTTTATTTATAATAAAAGTGCCAAATGTGACGGAGATAAAAGAAACTTATATTTATTTCGGTGAGATATTTAATTTTTAAAGATTCTGTCGACGTCCATATTTGTTGATTTGAAAATAAACAGAATCGGACTTGGTCATTGGTACATGTTATAAGTAGCAAATAAAGGTTTTTTTATAAACTGTTTACTATTTCTTGTTTCATGGGGAATCTGTTTTCAGGAAGTGGAAAGAGAAACATACAATCAAATACAAAAATATCAATTGCATTGCCAATTTATTCGTTTCAAACTTCACAACTGGTTTCAATAGTTTTTTCAAAATTATTTATTATTTCTCTATAACAGTGTTACTCAAAGTGTACTCCGCGGAGCCCTGGGGCTCCGCAAAGCCTTTGTGAGGGCTCCGCGAAGAAAATAATCATAATAAAAAAACAGTTCTATCGCCACAAAATGGAGGGATCTGGCTTGAAGACCTTTTTTTTGAGAAGTAATTTTTTTAAGTCACTAAGAGGAAGGAGGATATGATTTTGCTTTAAGACTTTTTTTTATTTTATTTTTTATGGGTGAAATGGATTTGGGATAATTCTTGCAAGGAATCTCTGGAATTAATCAAAAACAAATTAACAACAAATTATGTTCTTGCGCATTTTCAGCCTGAGTTGCCGATTAAATTAATCGTAGATGCATCAAATGTGGGAATAAGGGCCATGATATGTCATGTTTTTGAAAAAATATTGAGAAATCTATAGCTTCTGCTTCGCGTATCTTATCAAAGTCCGAACAAAAATATTTCCAAATTGAAAGAGAGGACCTTGCAATAATATCTGGCTTAAATAAATTTAATGAATATTAATATGGACATTTCTTTATCCTAGTTACAGATCACTTACCTCTGGTAACTATTTTTAACCCAGCTAAAGGTATACCCCAATTTTCAGCCAACATACTACGTAGATGGGCAGTAATATTGTCAAATTACAATTACAAAATTGAATATGTGAAATCGGAGCTTAATATAAAGCCCATTTTTTTATCAGGTCAAAATGAAGAAAAATATGAAACTGCTCTATAATAATATGGGATCTATCCATTTAATTTACATTTTGTTAGTTTCTCTAATTTTGACATATAAAGTAATATATTTTGTAATCGCAGCAAGTGCCAAAACGATTTACTTTATGCAACCAGTTGCATAAAGTAGAACATTATGCAACTGATTACGAAAAGTTGATTATGTCACCAGTTACGAAATGAAAATAAATAAAACTGCCTCTTTTTTGGTTTTTAAGTCGAAAAATCGAAAAATCGAGAAATCTAAAAATCGAGTACCTAATCGAAAAATCTAGAAATCGAAAAATAAAAAATCGAAAAATCCAAAAACCGAAAAATCGAAAAAACCAAATATCGAAAAAAGGCAATTAATAGTGACATTTCACATTTGA